TTTTTTTTATTTTAGATATTGATTTATTTAATAATTTGTGTTTATCAAGTGAAGTAGTTTCTACTTCAGGTTCTGTTTCTTGCAATTGAAATTTAAGATTTAATTTGTTTAAACACAGTTCTTCATAAGTATTTGGCAAAATAATTTCAAAATACGAAGGATTATTTTTTTTAACAACGTCAAAGCGTCAAATACTTTTTTAACATTCATCATTTCTTCCCATACAATTTTCGATTTTGTAGATATACTTCTAACTAAAATATACAATTCATGATTTATGTTAATTAAATCAGTATTAGGACATATTTAAAGTTTCTTGTAAAGAAAGTGGTAAATAAAACGTTTTACCTTTGACTTTTTGTATCATTTGCCGTTGTGGCAAATGTTTGTTTATAACAGCTCCCATTTTAACAACAGTCTGAAATGCTTTAGCTCTTTGTACAAGAATGGTTTCAAATGAATTAAGAGATGATATTAATTCAGGCACGTTGTCTACAAAAAGATTATTTAAAATACAATAAGCAGACATGACACTATTGCAAAATTTTCAAACACACTAATTACATACATATAGTGGATCTATTTTCCTTTCTTTTACATAAACCATCAAATCTTTCCAAGGTAGAATATCTATTTGTTTGTGACCAGTATTTATTTCTTTAATCTTTCTTTTGTATTAGGTGCGCAACTAAGTTCCCGCTGTTTCAATAGATGGCTCCAGCAGTAAGTGCTGATTGATTTTGACATATTCAAAACGTCACGAGCCAAGCTTAGACATATGGTAAACAGACCGCTTTGACACGTTAGTGATTTTGTTTTGGCGTCATATACTTTTGGTTGTGTGAAAATGTCTGATTTTGTATCAAATAATCGTCATTTGCGGGAAGTGTTGATTTTCTTATTTCATTCGAAGAAAACGGCGGCTGAAGCGCATCGAAAGCTCCAAAAAGTTTACGGAGATGCTGCTCTAAGTGAAACAACGTGCCGTGATTGATTCCGTCGCTTCAAAGACGGTGATTTTGATGTTGACGACTGTCCGCGTGAAGGAAGGCCAAAAACTTTCGAAAACGCTGAATTGGAGGCATTGATCGATGAGGATCCATGCCAAACGCAAGAACAGCTTGCTTCAGCATTAGGGGTTACCCGCCAAGCCATTTCCAAGCGAGTGCATGCGTTGGGAATGATTCAAAAGCAAGGAACTTGGATTCCTTATAATTTGAAGCCAAGGGACGTTGAGCGTCGTTTTTTCGCCTGTGAACAACTGCTCCAACGGCAAAAAAAGAAGGGTTTTCTTCATCGCATCGTGACGTGTGATAAAAAATGGATTTATTACAGCAACCCAAAGAAAAGAAAGTTATGTGGACTGCCCGGTCATGCTTCTACGTCGTCGGCTTGGCCGAATATTCACACTGCGAAGGTTATGCTGTGTATTTGGTGGGACCAGGTTGGTGTTATTTATTATNAGCTGTTGAAACCGAACGAAACCATCACTGGGGAACGGTATCACATTCAATTGATGCGACTGAGCCGAGCACTGCGCGAAAAACGGCCACAATACGAGCAGAGGCACAAAAAAGTGATTCTACTACATAACAACGCTCGGCCTCATGTTGCCAAACCCGTTAAAACCTGCGTGGAAACGCTCAAATGGGAAGTCCTACCCAACCCGCCATATTCCCTAGATATTGCGCCGTCCGATTATTACTTGTTCTGTTTGATGGCACATGGTATGGCTGACCAGCAGTTCCGCTCATATGAAGACATCAAAAAATGGCTTGATTCGTGGGTAGCCTCAAAAGCCCAACACTTTTATTGTAACGGTATTTGAGCTCTCCCAGAAAAATGGGGAAAAGTTGTAGCTACCAATGGGCAATTCTTTGAATTATTCATTTGTAACCAGTTTTTCACAATAATGTTGCATTTTCAAAAAAAAAGCGAAAACTTAAATGCGCACTTAATATATATTGTTGCAAAATATAAAATTTTATATTTGGAAGTTGTTTATACGTTATAAAATTATTTATACGTTCTAAAATAGTAAATATGAAATAATCCAAAACAATAGAAAGTATACAATATTATGTGATCAGTGTACTTTGTACAAAAGAAATGATATCAATAAGTAACGCCAAGTAAACTCTTGTTGTTGCAAAATATAAATTATTATATTTGTAAGTTGTTTATACGTTCTGAAATATAAAATATAAAATAATCCAAAACAATAAAAAGTTTAAAATATTATGTGATCAGTGTACTTTGTATATATATAAAGCACTCATCGATGTAAGAAATGACCTCGCCTTGCGTGGACAATCTTAAACTATGTCAAATCATATAGATTTCGCTTTGTGTGAAAAGTCAAATCCCAATGTAAAATTTTTTAAAATAAAAAATATTTAAGGTAAAATACTTGGCGCGTCCACGCAAGGCAAGGTCATTTCTTACATCGATGAATGCTTTATATATATACAAAGTACACTGATCACATAATATACTTTAAACTTTCTATTGTTTTGGATTATTTTATATTTTATATTTTAGAACGTCAACAACTTACAAATATAATATTTTCTATTTTGCAACAACAAGAGTTTACTTGGCGTTACTTATTGATATCATTTCTTTTGTACAAAGTGATCACATAATATTGTATACTTTCTATTGTTTTGGATTATTTCATATTTTATATTTTAGAACGTATAAATAATTTTAGAACGTATAAACAACTTCCAAATATAAAATTTTATAAAGACTTAACGCTCGTGAAATTGTCAACAGGAATCAAATAAGGCCGATACAAGCTATTCGCAGGATGTTTGTGCGGAAACTATGCGTGTACATATATATATATAGATATATATATATATATATACATAAATGTAACGAATTCTACTTGTAAATTTTTACAAGTATTTTTTGAATTGAAATCTCAATTCTTAAAATTATACGGGATGCTGGATTTGCATTTCACATATGGAAAACCCCGGATACCCCCCTAACTAATTTTAAAATATTGCGAATGGCTTGTATCGGCCTTATTTGATTCCTGATGACAATTTCACGAGCGTTAAGTCTTTGTAGTTACCCTGGCTGAAAATTAGCGTTAACAACATTATCAGACCATCTTCGATATATGTATGAGTATTGCGAGACTAACTTCAAGTGCCTCAGTGGCCTAACAGGGAAGGCGATGGCACGAAAAGCCGGAGATTCCAGGTTCGACTCCTGGCCGAGGAGTTTTTTTCGCAATATTTTAAAATTAGTT